CGGGCTGGCAGCCCCGGATGGGGAGGTCACGTGTCCCCCAGGCAGCGCTGGGTTTCAGTTTCCCATCGCAGCGCTTCCTGGGCCTCACGTGGGGCCTTTTCGCCACCAGCCCAGGCGCTTTGGGGTTCCTTAGGCTGGTCGCTAGCGCCTGGGGCTCTGGGTGCCCGGCCTCTCCCCAGGACCTGCAGGGATGCTGTATTCCTCATCTTGCACAAAGAAAAATTACTGTCTCTAGGGTCATACTTTGAAACGGCATATGGGCTCGTTAAAATGTATCTTAAAGCTTGGCTCATAATTCAAGGAAATACTCTTTTTCCAAGGAACTTTCACGTTTTGGAGGAAGAATAGTATTTTATAGCCTTTGCGTCTAACAAAACTTATTTCTTTAATGGTATTTATTAAGCCCTTCCTCTGTTCCAGGCATTATTGTTTTTTGTTTATCTCACTTTGTTTTCATACCTCCCTGTTCTACATGTGAAAAACGGAGGCACAAAAATGAAACAGCTTGTCCGAGGAAATGGGAAACCTGGGTTTCCTGCTTCTTACTGTAGCATTTCCCAAATAGGAGTGTCCCACGTCACCCACTCAGCAGCTAGCACACCTGTCAGGGATGGGCAGGCTTGGGTGTTTGGCGTTCAACCAGCACACAGAACAGCGCCCCCTGCCCTCTGGTGGGGTCCTGACTGTGACTGTGGTAGGACATGAGAGCAGCTACTTTTAGATTGTTTTGCTGTGCCTTATGATTATCCACTGTGGGTATGAGTTAGAGGTTAAATTCTTACTTTATTACAGTTTCTGTACTTTCAGCTCCACCCCCTTTTCCTTTTAATATCTTATTAACAGTTAATAGTTCATCTTAATAGCAACAGTGATTATTTCAACTTCTCACCTCTCCTGCCCTCTGGTGGGAGTGGGAGTGGGAGTTATTGAGCAGCAAAATGGCCAAAAGAATGCAGGCAGAGAGACCTGGCCCTGGACAGTCAAGTTCAGTAAGGAATTATGTGTACAGCTACATTGTTTTCGTTTGGATTACAAAAATTAGTAGCCAGACTTGACCAAGTGTTTGCGGGGAGACATTCAAAAGGGGATTCAAACATTATTAGGATGTTATTCGAGGCTGAAAACCCCCTATGTAATTACGGGGGTGGATTTTGGAGGACTTTGGAATGTCAGCAAGTGATGTTTATTTTATAGGCATTAAAGAGCAGTAGGTGATGCATAAGTTTGTATCCTAGTGAACATGAACTTCTAGGAACTTACTCGGGGTTGTGGTATTGAGGGCAAACCAGGGTGGAGAAAGACTGTCAGAAAGGCCGTGGGCAGGTTCCAGAGCCCTCAGCGAATGGTGAGTTCCCGGGCGAGGGTTTCTTGTCCCCTTGGGCTGGTGAGTTATGCCCCTCACAGTGGAGCCCTCCATTGATGGTTTTTGTTTCTGATGGCAGAGGATGTGATGTAGGATCAAAAAACAAATGACAAAGGGACAGTTGCCAGCAACCCTCTTTCGCCATAACATTGTCAGTCCCCGCCTCGCACCCTGCCCTGCCCCACCCCACAATGGTGTCATAGGAACTGAGCTCATGGCTTACTTTGAAAGGGTTATAAATTCTCAGAATGTTAACACATCCATATTAATTACAGTTTGAGCTTTTAAATGATGTCCTATTTTAGCAATATGTAATTTGGGGTAATTAAATGTTCAATCTTGGGAAATGTATTTATACCAATGTCTGTAGCCTAAACAAGAGGACTTATGCTATGAACTTATGACCAACATCTTATTAAAATTCCTACCTAAGCATGAACTTCACTGGATCATCTTGAAGAGAATTTTAAATATTTAAAACGTTTTGGCTGAAACCGGTTTGGCTCAGTGGATAGAGCGTCGGCCTGCGGACTGAGGGGTCCCAGGTTCGATTCTGGTCGGGGCATGTACCTGGGTTGCGGGCACATCCCCAGTGGGAGATGTGCAGGAGGCAGCTGATCGATGTTTCTCTCTCATCGATGTTTCAAACTTTCTATATCTCTCACTTCCTCTCTGTAAAAAAATCAATAAAATATATTAAAAAAAATAAAATGTTTTGTTTGTAGCAAGGCTGTAAGTATAATTTGCATAGAATAAGTTAGTTAAGCACTTCTTGATTATGTGTAGTGCTTAAAATTTCAGTTTTAAACAATCAGTTGAGGTTGCATATAACTTTCTTTCAAATAGAGTTGTTTTAGTGTTCAGAAGACCTACCCTGCTTCCTCGAGTAATCCTATATTGGATTTGAAACAGTGGGAACCTAAGAGCACCTTTGTAAAGTCCCGTTAAAGCCGTTCCCAGGGGAATGTTTCCTGTCTCATCTCATGCTAGAGTGAATTTTGAAAATTCTTTGTAAGAGTGAACTCTTGGTCTAGAAAAGCAAATCTTCTAATCTTTTTATTTTTAGTTTCGGAAAAATGGCCAAAAGAATTGCTGAGAAGGAACTGACAGATAGGAATTGGGATCAAGAAGACGAAGCCGAAGAGGTAAAAGTAGTTTTCCTGAGAGTGATTTCGTACTGCTTCTCAGTTTAAACTGGGCTCCTCATGAAGACCGGTAAAATGAAAAGGCTTTTGAAGACCATCCTGCCCGGGAAATAGTGTGGTTTCTAGTGACCTGTACTTAATAGAGACATTTATTTCCACCAGCACCTACTTCCTGAATATTGGGCTCCCTGTAGAAGCACCTTCCTCCTGAATGTCATACACTTGCAGCATTCTGAACCCGTGGTTTTCATCAAAGCTGAAGGATGAGTAAATGATCGAGTCACGAACTTAGCGCAGTGCCACGCTCAGACCTGACAGTGGACACCGCCACCATCTTGGTCTGCTGTCCCTGTCATTTCAGATTCCGATGGTTGAGGTCCCCTCCTGCACTCTAACCTTCTCAAAGCCCAGCTTCAGTTCTCCTTCTTACAGATCTGATGTCCTCTCCCCTCACCCCAACAATGGCATTCATGGAAATAGAGTTTGTATTGGCCCAGTTTCTTTCCTAACAAAGTCAGAATGGCCTTCCCTGAGGAAATCTTTTTTGTTTTTTTGGGTGCTTCATCAGCAGTGTGGGACACCCAGGCCGGTTCACCAAGGAAGCCTGCACCCAAGCTAAGAGGATAATGTCAAGTAAAATAAAATAAAATAAAGAATCTGCAGGGGTCTTCAAGCTTATTCTTAGACTAGAGGCCCAATGCACGAAAATTCGTGCAGGAGGACACCTTTCTTCCCTGGCTGCTGGCACCAGCTTCCCTCCGGCACCCGGACCCGGGCTGGCTTCCTTTGGGCTGCCCCCAGTCACCCGGGACCCAGCTGTCTTCCCTCCGTCCCCAGCTTTGTCAGGAAGGGCATGCAGAATGACGTCCGGAATGACATAGGTCTAGTTAGCATATTACCCTTTTATTATTATAAATGGCTATCTTTCTGAGTCTATATCCTAGTATTAATATTTTTCCTTTACAAATGTTTGCACCAATATGGTTAGGAAAGTCAAAATCACAAGCATGTTAATATTTTAACAAGGCTTTTAACATTTCTAGCTGCCATCATGCTTTTTCGCCAAGACTTGAGTAACTATTTTTTCCCAAGTCTTACAGACAGCTACATTCTGAGCTCAGTAAGTTTTAGACTACCATATAAAGATTGCTTTGACATTAAAATACTTCAGGAATGAAAGAACTCCCGTTTGGATAGTTGCTAATGAATGAATGTGGAAAGACAGTTATGTTTGGGCAAATGCAACTAAATGATCCCTTCTGTGGCTGCAGAGACCTCTGACATTTCCTGAAATAGCTGGGGACGGAAGTTTTTACAGGGAACACTTACGCCAGCCGTATGGGGAGCAACGGGCATGGCTAAGCCAGGCTCGGCACGCTCCTCACTGCGAACCTCGTGCTTGGGGATTTAGCAGGAGTAGTCACCCAGAGTCCCAGTGCCTCTGTGGTCTCTTGGATGAAGGGCAAATGGGCAGAGCTCTTTGTAAAAGTAATAATTATGTGTTTCATAAATACAATTTTACTTTTGAAAACGGTAGTAGTAAGAGACTAGATCTGGGCACCTGGTTTCAGAACTTGTTCCACTCCCAGCGGTACAGGATCTTTAAGGTACCTTCCAGCTTAAGTTTGATTAATACCTTTGAATAGATTTGAAATATTTGAAAGCTGTGCTAAGTAGTTTTGCACCGAAGTTTTGGTCGCCTTAGCCTTGTCAGACTTTCGTGCACGCACTCCTCTCTCTCTGATTCAAATCTTGGATTTGTAGGATTCAGAAGACTGGTGGTTCACCTGACTAGCATTGGAATTCACCAAGACAGAGCATGGATATGAATTTTAATGCGCCCTCTCTATAATTTGTATTACGAGGATTAACAGTACTTTGACAACTAGCAGAAAATAGATGAGTTTGCCTGGTCTAGCTTTTTCATTCAGCATTTTATCTCAATTTTGACCTTATCTTACTGCTGTTTAATTTGTGTACTCCTGCAGGTGGGAACATTCTCAGTGGCCAGTGAGGAAGTCTTGAAGAATAGAGCCATAAAGAAAGCAAAGCGTAGAAATGTTGGATGTGAAGTGAGTGATTTCTACAGCTTTCTATGGGGCGGGGGGAGGGGACTGTCAGATCGGTAAGTGCTCATTAAAGTGCTTTCTCCACTTGGGAAAGCGCTTGGTGTAGAACAGTGGTCGCCAGCCTTTCGGCCCGCACAGACCACCGGTTGGCGACCGCTGGTGTAGAACATACAGAACAACCCTCAAATG